GCCGAGGCAGTGTTGGGGACCCAAGCCTTGCTAAGAATCCCACCACCCTCTGCAGAGTGGCAAGAGCAGCCAGCACACTGGCTGGAAACACCCCTTGCTCTTCCCCACCACCTACTCCTGGCAGGGGAGACCAAGAACTCAGCTCCTCCAGGGCTGGGTCAGGGACGTGAGGTTTCCCCTGTGTCCTCTGTGCAGCTGTGTCCCTCTTGGGCTCTATGGAGCAGGGAGGGGGAGTGGGCAGAGGGAGTTTGAGCTCAGGCAGTGTTGACCCACTGCTCTGTAACCCCGGAGGGTCCTTCAACAGGCAGCCCACTGCAGAAGCCTAATTTGAGTGCTGAGCATTACCCCTGCAGGGGTCCAAGGCCCCTTGCAGAGGGAGCCAAGGACACCTGCACATTTTTCCTAAACCTCATGGACAAGCACAGCTCCAGGAACACGTAAATGATGGGGAGGAGACAAATGATATTCAGCAGAGTGAAGCACTGCCTCACACCAAACTCCCCATGCAGGTGGCTGAGCAGTGTCATAAAACCCCTTGATATAAAGCAGAGCATCTATAGAGGGATCTGGGTTTTAGGGTGACTGTGAATCTCTTGAAACCTTTCTTTACCTACATTATTCCTAAAATCTTCACAGATTTTGTCCCTAAGCCCATCTGGCTGTGAGAAAGCAGAGCAAAGTGAGGCTGGGTCATGCTGGGGCATCCCAGTGGATCCCAATGAGAAGGTTTATGCTGGAGCCCTGAGAGAACTGATTCTAAGGGTCATAGTGGGACTTTCTTGGAAGGGGTGTGTCCCACCAGCCAGCATAGGGGTGTTGGGAAGGGGCACAAGGATGAGGTGCTGAACGTGCTTTGGGGGTTGGCTCCAGCCAAAGCCTTCTAGTGGCAACATCTGGATGCAGGGGATGATGTTTGGCTGTGCTGAGATGTTCCTGAGGCATTGGGTGCATCCTGACAGAGGTTTGTCCTGAGGTAACTGGGTCTGCTCAGTAAACACCTTGTGGCTTCTCTGATTGACAAGCCTTTGGGTTTCCGGCATGTACGAGCACAAGGTGAACTTTCGGTGGATATTTTCTGCTACGAGCAGTTTTGCAAGCATGTGCATGAGTCACTTCACCCACCCCCCAACACCAGAGGAACCACTCACACGAGTCCAGTTACTCATGCGTGTACCAGTGCTCGCAGGACACTGCCATCCCTCCACACTCCCCGGGTCACCAGCACTGCCGTGTCCACCACGGAGATCCCAGCAGCCAACCTCAGCCAAAGCCAGCCCTCCCAGGGCACGATGGGAGCATATGGAAATCGAGCTCTCCGACTCCAGGATTAACACATAATTCTTAAACAGCTCGTTTGATATCTTTTCTGGTTTATTTGTTTAATAAAAGCACTTAGTTAGCTGGAGACCCAGGCTCCTGGGGCTTTCGTTTCTCTGCAGAGGAGATAAGAAAAGCGCATTTCCTTATCCAGTGAGTCATTTTTTCTGCTCTTTAATTATGCATTTGTGCGATTATCAAGCATATTCAGCTCCGAGATGCAAACAGTTCAAACTACTCATCAAGCTGTAACTTTTGCTATTCCAAAAATGATCAACCACAGTTAGGAAGGGCAGGGGAGGCGAAGATGGGGGAGGTGAAGAGGAGGACGGCCAATGGCCTGAGCTTGGGCCGTGCTCGTGAGCAGGCACACGTGCTCGTGCCGCTGGGGTAGTCAGCAGAGATTTTCTCCATGAGTAAGCGTTATCATGTGTGAATTCAAACATCATCTTCTTGGCCCGGGAGGAGGCGGATATGCCAGAAAGACAGCGTGGAAGACCTGTAGAGCAGGATAAAGAGGGCTGAGAAAATGGGGGTGAATAGGGTAAGGTCAATCGCAGCAATAAGACTGTAACATCCTTCCATGTAACAGGACCTGGGAGCACTTTATTTGTAGGAGGACATGATTGCTGCCATCCCTGGGCTCCCCACCATGCATTGGCAGTTCAAGTTTCCATTGCATACACTGAAATGAGAGCTGCCAGCTCCCAAGTTCTATTGTAAACCTTGCCCTCCATGTCAAAAGCAACGTGTGGATTCCTTGGTTTGGGCTTTCCCCAGTGTGCATATTTGACAGGAGTCAATGTTTAAGTGTGGTAAAGCAGATTCTGGGAACCATTTCCGAGCCCCCACTTTAAGCCAAGCAGAGAGGAGACAGGGAAGAAGGACAGGGTGACAGTCCTACAACAGGACTCACAGGAATAGGGGCTGAGGGTCACTGAAAAATGACTGACATGAGGGAAGAACAGTGGGGGTATTTGAGGGGGGGAGGGCAAGAGGGGAAGGTTGGAGGAGCATACCCCATTGAGAGAAGGAGACTAGCAGGTGGAAATACCCCAGGGCAAGAGGAACAGCAAAGCCTTTGGAGCAGGGAGTTGTTTTAGGGGCAGGTATCCTGATAGAGCACTGGCTGTTTTGTGGGGATCCTCTGCCTTCCACACATGGCTCCAGCCCCACCAGCTCACAAGGCAAGGTGTTTCCTAGTCCCTAGTCTCTACTTTTCCATTTCTGCAAGCTGCCTGCTGGGAACAGTGGCAGTTCCAGGTGCTTTCTCCTTGCCAGGGCTCTCCACTGTGGAGTTCAGATGACTGAAGTGAACCTTGGCTTTTCTTTTTCTCACTGCTGTGGGACACGGCACTGCATCACAGCTTTCCATCCCCTGGAGCTGCTCCTGATGCCCTGATGCTGGATGCATGCCTCTCCAGCTCCCATGCTCACACCACAGCCCTGCTCCTCACTTGGGGTGCGCAAGAGGCAGAGAACCAGCTGAAGTGGGTTATAAAGAAATGTTCTTCCATTTGGCCCTGCTTCCCTGGCAGGTACCTGTGCAGGGGAGAGCACAGCCTGTTCAGCACAAGCATGGAGTGTGAGGGTGCTGAGCTGGCTGTGCCATTTGTAGCTTCAGAGCTCGAGGACATGCTGAGAGAGGGAAGTTCTTGGCATGCCCCCACTTGCCTGGGGAGTTTTATTTTGATTAAGATGGACAGAGAATAACTGAGTCACAGGAGCAGGATGAATGATGGCTGGGCTCGGCTCTTGCATCGGTGGAGCCTGCAGCCCCCTAGGCTTAGCACAGCCATCCCCACTGGCACGGTGCAGGGGCAAGGGAACAAGTGGCTGGGAACGCCATCGGGAAGGGGAAGTGAAATCACGGCAGGCGTGGAACTGGTGGGCAGTGACCAGTTTTTGGTTGGGACTTTCATTTACCCACAGCCCTGTAGTGCCCAGCGGGGAGGGCTGATCGGTGGAGCCTGCAGCCCCCTAGGCTTAGCACAGCCATCCCCACTGGCACGGTGCAGGGGCAAGGGAACAAGTGGCTGGGAACGCCATCGGGAAGGGGAAGTGAAATCACGGCAGGCGTGGAACTGGTGGGCAGTGACCAGTTTTTGGTTGGGACTTTCATTTACCCACAGCCCTGTAGTGCCCAGCGGGGAGGGCTGAGACTGTGCTAGGGCCACTTTGGCACTGCCCTGATGCAAACCACCCTCAGGGGACACTGCTGGCAGAGAGGGGGAAGGGCTGTAGGGCACCTCCTGACCTGCAGGGCATGGAGTACTGGAGAACTGCACTTCGACTGAGACTAGCGTGGGGAGCTGGTGAGTGTGTCCAACCTGGGGCTTCAGGGGGTGGGATATGGAGTCTGTGGGCTCAACTTGCCCAGAAGCCACTGGAGAGGGGCAGGCACATTCTGGGACCAAGTCCTACGCCCTGTCTCAGAGGACCTCAGTTTCCCAGTGGGTATGCCTGGTACTCTGTCACCTTGAGCCAGAGCACCCTTTCGATTTTCTCCTCTTCCTCTCCCAGCCTTGGTCCTGGAAATCAAGTGGCAGAGGCCTAACGAGAAAAAGCCCAGAGGCTGTAGTTACTGGAAGGATGTGACTGCAGCAGTAAAGCCCTATTAGGGCTCTCCTGGCTAGGGCAAGTCACTAGTGCTGCCTCCTTTAGCTGAGAACAAGCCAGCAACTGTGGCTGGGCCCTTTATTTCCTATGGAGTGAAGAAAAAGTGGATGTGTCTTTTGTTTGGTAGGAATGGAGGAGAGCCATGTACAGCACTGAAATAAATAACTTCGGATCTCAAGCATCAGGCTCTGACCTGTGGGTACTGGTGGCAGGACGTTTCTCCTGCTCCTGATCAGGAACACCTGAGACTGTTAGGGGCTTGTTTAGTGCTGTCCAGGGGTTTGGGGATCAGACTTTATTGGTGTGACCTGGTTTGCCCATGCCCTGGGCAGTTACCGAGCAGAGCCAGATCTGAACCCCGGAGAATAGTGCTGAGGAGCCACAGGTCTAGCTCGAGGATGGAGAGAGCAAAGTGAGAACACCGTCATTAGTAGAGATGGAGAACACACAGCAGCTGACCTGCCTGCACAGCAGTCACTGGCAGGCTGTGTCCTGGCAGCAGCTGGAGCTCTTAAAAGGAGAAACATTAGTGCCCCTGCACTCTTTTCTCCTTTGGTCCTTTCCTGCATTTTCCATTGAAGCCAGATCTGCAGTCCTGGGATGGGGTCTTGCAAAGATCTGGGCACAGGAAAGCCTCCTGTAGACACTGGAGGATGCTGAGGGGGCTTTTCACCGGCCAGCAAAGGAGGGTGCAGGCTGGGGGACATGCCTGGGCTGGGAATGACATACAGGTGGTGCAGGGGAAGAGTGAGCATCAAGAAGGTCAGGCTGGGGCACCATACCACTGGGTACAGGGTGCTGCATGGCTGAGACACAAGGGGCTGCGGGGATTTCGGAAGCATATTTTGGAGGAGAGGGGTAGTTTGAGGGCATGTGGCACGGGTAGGCAGGGGTAGGGCTTGGGCTATTGCTCTCCTCCTCCCCAGTGAAGATCCGCCCCAGGCCAAGCACAGAGATTGTGAGCCCCAAGGGAGACAACGCAGCTTGACAGACTGTATCTCCCTCTGCCACGGGGCCCGGGGCGCTGCGATTTCACACTCGGGCGGCCCCAGCACTGCTGCGCCATGCAGGAGCTAGGCTCTCACTCCCACTCTGCCATGTCCTCGTCAGGAAAAGCTGCTGTTGCCCCCTCCTGCCTCTCCACCGAGTGCTTCGACACCCTGACTAGGTCGTGCATCAAGTGCTCCGACTTGTTCAAGGACAACACAAGTAAGGGGACAAGGGTGGCCGGGGTCCAAGCTCCCCAGTGCTGGGTGGTGGTGGGTCAAGGGGGCTGGAGGCACACCAGGGGTGGGCAGGTGGAGGGCACCTTCTTCTGAGGATGGCTATGGAAGTGGCAATGGAAGATGGAGCACTGCCTTCACCTGGAGGAGGGGGAGAAGGAAAGCGGCCAAAAAAATACACACCAAGGAACATGGTGCAGGGAGAAGTCAGATGATCCAGCCCAGCATGCAGGTCACAGCCTGCCCCAGGGGTGACCATAGGAAGAGCAGGATGCCATCATCTTCTACCACCCAGGAATGGCAGGGGGGTGGGAAAAGGGTCCTGTCAAGCAGGACCCTTTTTTTGCTGCTGCTGGGTGGGTAGCAGTGAAGTGCCACTCTCTTTCCCCACCATCACAACCCAAAGGTTGGTTGTCCAGGTGGAAAATGCTGCTGCTCTTCTTCCCAACCCCAGCTCTTCCCCTTCTGACACAGCCGGCATCTTGCCTCACAGCAGAACCCACCCTGGCACCCACCCTGACCAGCAACTTCCTGAGCTTTGGGGTCCCGGTAGCAGTGGGGTTCATCCTGATTCTGGCTGCCCTTTGTGGCTTCCTGGTCTGCAAGGCGGGGAAGTGGAGAAGGAAGAGGAAGCCGGCGGATGAAGAGGCCAAAGGTAGGGAACCTCCACCTCTCTCTCACAGCACCCTGAGGACCCTGGCACAGACAGGCTCCCCAAGGCATATCTCTGTCTAGGCTAGCTCCTCTGCCTCAACATGGGCTCCACAGCCATCCCAATGTGTTTTGGGACAGCTGAGTCACCTCCTGAGTGATGGTGTCCTGCATTCCTTGGGTACCTGTACGTGTACATGACTGCCAGTGTGACCCTGATGAACCATCTCTCCCTTTGGCAGGTCTTCCTGTGCCTTTCTGTGCTTAAAGCACTTACTGGCACCATCCCCTCTGCACAGAGGACACATAGAGAGCACTGGTGAGGAGCTCTGTGAGCTCACTGGTGAGAGCCCTCTCCCCCACTAGCCAGAGGGCCGTGGATGGAGGAATGGGTCTGGGGGCAGTGGTAGACATCTGGAGACAGCTCCAGAAGGAACCTATCCCTGTGGCATTGCAATGGTGGTGCTGTGTTGACCTCCCAGCTTGCTTTTTCTGCTTGGGATGCTCAGCATCCTCCAACATGCAACCTAAAGACCCTGACAGGGTGTCAGGGCCAGCCCCATTGACAGGACACTGCAGCACCACACAGAGGTGTCCAGTGTATCAAAACTGGGGCCAAGGGGCAAGGGATGGGACTGAGCCTTTCCTGGCAGTGTACTTCCAAGAGAGTAAGGCCTCATTGCTCCACGATGGCTCATTTTGTTGGGGCAGCTCTTTCATCCCTCGAGGGCCCCACACTGATGCTGATTCAACCCTGGACACTCTTTTCACAAATAGTCTTGAGTGGTTTCTCTCCTGCCCATTCCTAGGCAGGAGTATGACTCCCTCGGACGCCCATGAGGGGCTGCCTCAGGGGGATGCTGGCACCTGCCAGTGTCCTGCCACCTGGGCAAGTGTTCTCAGGGGGCAAGAGGGCCAGGGGCATCTGGTCCTTGTGCCCTGGCTTGCCTGCACACTGCTGGCAGTGCCGGATGGTGACTCAGACCACGGGGGACATTACTCGGGGGTTTTCTGCTATGTGACAGTCCATGACGCACATGCCTAGGAAAAACACCAAGAATGAAAGAGGAGGGAGAAATCCAGTGGCAAGGGAGATCTGGCCATGATGGAGAGTGTTGGAGACACTGCTCAGATAGTCCCTGGCTGCATGTCCTGGTCCCACTCATCCCCCAAGGCTGCACCCCAGCAAGCCCACTGCTGCAGCAGTGGATGTGTGGAAAGTGGCAGGAGGCCTGGGGCTGGAGGCACACGCCTGCATTCGAAGCGTGTAAACAAGTCTATTTTTAAGTGGGAGGCAGTTGGGGAGGGCGAGCCGCCATGGGCTGGGCTACTCTGCTGCCCGCAGGGTTTAGCAAGAGGGCTCAAAGTGGAAGTGCAAGTTTCTGCCTTTCCCTATTGTCTTTTAGGAGGGGAAAAGTGCATTAGTTGTAAGCAGAAGCAACTCTGCAGCAGGAGAGGTGTGGTGGGGACCTTGCAAGGTCCTTCTGTTCCAACTCCATTTCCCTCCCAGGGACAGGGCCCTCTCCCTGGGACTTGCCTGACCTCACTTTGTGAACCCACTAACCCCATTTTCTTGCTCCCTCCCAGCAAACATGAATGATGCCAGCCTCCTGCCCAGCCAGGACCCTGCTGTGCCAGAGGGAGATGGTGGCCTGGCCCCAGCCCCATGCCCACATCTCGATGGAGGCCTGAAGATGATGGGGCCACCTGGGAAAGCCAGGGTGAAGCAGAGGCCATGCTGCCAGGGCAATGCTGACGGTGACATCGTTCTGCTCTCCACCGTGTACCCCCAGCATGAGGAATGCAACCATGGCTTCCCACTGCCTGCCACTGAGCTGGGGGCCACAGCTCTGGTCACCACCAAAACCACCCAGAACTGCGCCAGAGAGGAGAGAGTCTGAGGATAGGGGGAATGTGGGCACCCACAGCCCATTCCTGGGATGGGAGAAGCATTCTATGAGTATGAGTTCTCTGAGGACCAGCTTTTACCTTGAGCAAGATCAACCTTTTAAGATGAGTGTCCTTTTCCACTTTCCCATTTGTGTTGAGGCCCAAGTTACACCAGAGGAAGCCAAAGTGGATCACGCCGAGTCACAATGGACTGCTGACAGCTGCCATGGCTGAACCATTGGGAGGAGGCAGAGGAGACACAGGCGGCAAGGATGGAGTCTGGCAGGGACTGCTGTGCTATTGGCAAGGCTGCCATTGAGCCAGGACAGGTCTGCTGCAGGATGGGCAGTTCCTGGGAACATGGGGCTGGAATAGCAGAAACAGCAGGGGAAAGGGAAGATGGAGAGGGAAGCAGGGAGTTACATTAGGACCAAATCCCGCACAGAAGTAGCACGATTTTTGCTACTGACCTCAATAAAAGGAGACTTGGGGCCATATGGAGCAAGGCACATCCAGCATCTACTCTATTCACAGTCCTGCCAACCTGTCTTCTTCACTCTGTGATACTCAGGTCTCTCCTCCCTCTGGGTGCTCTCATGCGGTGGCAGGCATTTACCAGCATTCACGGGAACTCCCTCCACAGCCGGGTACACCAGGGACGGAGAAAAAAAATCTGTCTTCCCAAGCACAGAAGAAGGGAAAAAAACCTGTCTTTGCCCTGACCTACAATCCCTGAAGTTAGGAAGGACCAGGGGCAGGCAACAGAGACAGCTAGTCTAGAGGAGCTCTGTGAACTTGTCACTAAAGCCCCAGACAACCATCACTTCGGCTCACTGTCGCTGCAGAAATACCGTGTGTCACTTGGGATGGATGTTTCCATGCTGCGCAAAACCAGTCAGGGAGCGATGCGAGCGTAGGCAGGATGACTTAATTTATGTGAGTGTCCTCAAGGCTTTGCCTGTGTGCCAGAGCTGGCTGGCATTGCTAGTCCCAGGCATTTCTCTGTCGATAGTTTCCTACACCCGCCTGCAAGTGGCTCTACTGCACAGGAAGGGCTGTGTTTCGGAAACGAACTCGTTAGTGTGGGATTGCTGTTCCCAAGTAATTACAGCAGCTGATCCCTTGGCTGAACAGAGACAGACCAGTGGGCTGTGTGAGAAGCCCTGCTGGCTCCAGAGGGGGTGATTAGGCAATTAGAAGTGCCTTGGGGGGGTTATTTGCATGAAGCGCCATCTCAGCGACAGCCCAGGTCTGCTGTTCCTTCGGTCAGGTGGTTTCCTTGTCCGGGAGGCTTTGGACACTGAGCAGAGGTGACCAAGCAAGGTGTGGGGGCACTGCCACCAGGCACCAATGGGCTACCAAGGGACTTAGTCCCCTGCAGGGTTACCTGGTGGCACTGTGTGAAGGGTTTGTCCCTCTGATGATGGGAAGGCGACTCCCTGTCCAAGCCTCAGCTCTCTTCTGGGGCTGGAGGACAGATGCTGCTGTTGAAGGGGGACCCTCCCTCTTCTCACCTCTCCTGCACTGGAGGCAGGCTCATGGCATCTGTCCTGTAAGGGGAGCCACAGGTGCTCACCACAACTCCTCTCCCAGGACTAAATGCACTGCCAGTGGTGAGCCTTCACCCAACTGAGGCTCTGCATGACTGGGGATGAGATGGGTCTTCATCTCAGCCTTGGGGCTGAGGATAGTGGAGGACAGGTCCACATGCCCAGTGACTGTCTCCTGGGGCTCCAGCCACCTGCGGCTCGCTGGCAGGAGCTGTGGAGGCTCCAGCACTGGGCTCCCAGTTATCCAATACCCATGCTGCCCATTGCAGAAGGGGTATCCCCACAGCATGAATTAGACATCTCTTCTGTCATGCTCCTCATCCAATCCTGTGAAGTGTCTTCAAGCAACCTTTGTGCATCTGGAGTGGGGAAATGAGCCGAAGCAGGCCGAGGGATGTTTTGGTGCTGGAAGAAGGACTGCTTGTGGGAGGCAGAGCAACCTGTATCATGGGAGATGGGGGCGAGAGGGAAATGGAGCAGAACTGTCAGGAGCATCCTCCGCTTCCCGCCCAGTGACAGCTGCAGCCCAGCCCTGCGGATGCGCTGCCCACCCCAGCCGATGTGGCGATTTGAAAAAGGAACACCCATACAAATCCTATTGAAAATGCTCCTCTTTCTGCTCAGGTAAGGACTTCTGACCTCATTTCTGCTGGAGCTTAAGCCAGGCACCTCCTACATGGGATGCCACCAGCATTTGCAGTTTGCAGAGTGGCAATTTGATCCACATTGGATTCCTTAGCCAGTGAACGTCCCTTGGATCCCCTCTCTGTTATGGCATGTTGGGTGTCTTCTCCACATCTTGCCTGCCTGACTGCCAGCTGTGGTGGGGCAGAGTTCCCCTCCTGCCCACTCTGCCTGGGTCTGGGGGGATTTGCAACCTCCTCTGTGCACTTCTCCATCCTTATTTACAGGGCAAAAGGGTGTCCATCTTGCCTTGTTGGAGAGCCAAGGGAATAGAGATGAAAAACATGGCTGTAAAACTTAAAGAATAAAGTGAACCCTTTGCCAGTGCATGCCTAGAGGTCTGTATGGGGTCCCCATTCCCATGGCTTTAGGGGTCTCCATCATGGTGGTTCTTGGGTTATAGCAGGACTTTGAGCTGGAGACGCTCCCTTTGCACTGGATTCACAGGCACGTTCCCTGTGCATGGCCACCTGCATGGTCAGGAAGCAGCTGAGCCTGGCCACCTGCATCTCCCCACGACCACTCCAGGAGCTGGCTGATAGGACAAGGAGTGGGGAAAGTCTTTTTTCTTGGGGGTGTTGCCCGTATTTGACTTTCCACAGCAGTTTCTCACTTCCTCCTGTGAGGCAGGAGCTGTGCTTCCTCCCCAGCCCAGCACCCGCCCCACTGCCCGCACAATTGCCTAGAAAGGCCGGTGAAGCTGAGCTTCCCCTGGCTGCAGGGGTGTGGGTTTTCAGAAAGAGCCAGGGGAAAGTCTGAGGAAACTCTGAAGAAACCCCTGGGCAGGAAGAAGGAGCGGAGGCTAAAACCATTCTCACTGCAAAATCACCTCGGTTATGTCCCTAGCCATTTCAACTCCACCAGCTCTGCTATGGCAGAGGTCACGAGGGTATTTGAGCTTCAGCAAGTCCCATCAGCAATGCTGGTGGTAAAGGAAAGAAGCCTTGGTGTCTCTGGGGATGGGTGTTTTTTTCATCCCTGGTCCAGCAACAGCCAGCACGCCAACCGTGCATGGTGGCACAGGGAGAGGAGACACTTGGCCAAGGGTCAAGTGCAACCACCAGTCATGTCTGTCAAACCCTCCTCAATCCCACAGGCTCCCCAGCATCCAGAGAGCTCGGCTTTCCTCTGCCAGCCTCCTCACCTGGGTCCTTTTCCCACACTCTCCATTTCCATTGCTGGTTCACCCACCAGTTTAGTCTCCTAACAGTTCACCCACATGCCCAGCTACTCCAGCCTAAAGCACTCACCCCAGGCCTCCACAGACCCCCACAGATCCAGCTTGCCCCTCTAGGGACTTTCTGTCGGTGCTGGACCTTGACAGCAGTCAGTGCTCGCAGGGCAATGTGGGCACCATTTTGTGCCATGCACCTCAATATCCAGTGTCCAACAGGCACCATCTGTCTCTGGGTGCAGCCTCCAATCCCCTCACTTGCTGCAAGAAGACCAGGGACTCTGCAGCAACCTTATCACCTGTTTGCAGGGCATGGAACTCATCCCATCCCGCATGAGCCTTTCTCACCACCCACTTCTCAGTGTCAGCAGCGGCATAGGGATGCATGGGTGTCCTTGCAATCCACGGGGGACACCCGTGGGAGTCTGTGGGTGAAGAAGAGAGGTCAGCAGGTCCGGGGCGCCTGCCACGAGGTGGCACTGACACCACACAGCGACCTGCACGGCTGCAGCGCCACAGGGGAGCTGCATGGGAGGTGAATGCCCAGATGCAGCAAGGGGAGACAGGTGGAGCCAAGCAGGCTAGTGGCCAGCCTGCTCTGGCCAGACACAAGGGCAACAGTTGGGTCTGACTCTGTCTGACCATGCAGCCCATCACCATGACCTCTGGGCTGCCCAGGAGAAATGGTCACTGGTGGCTGGACACGTGTGGGCAGAGTAGGCATGGAATGGTGGAGCAACCAGAGGCACAGAGAGCTGCTGCTCCTTCCCCAAACAGCACTGAGCACCTTGACCATCACCCTGCTCCCCCAAGCAGCCCATTCCCAGTGGTGTCAGGCCTCCCTGGGGATTCTCCAGGACTCAGACTTGCCAGCCCTTCTCCATCCCCTCCGTGTCAGCCTCTACCAAAAAAGAAACTACCATGCTACCCACCAAGCTCCTCAGCTGGAAAAAGCCCAGGGCTGGAGAGTAGGGGCTGGCTGGCTCTCTGTGCAATGCTGTCGGGGGACCACAGCCTTCCTGATGCTGCTCATCAGCATCCCTCCCTAATTGCTACCCAGTGCCTAATGACAGTAATTAAGAAGAGCGAAGCTGCCTGGGGACTGGAAGCGCTGACGGAGTTGGGGGAGACAGATGGTGTTCGCACTTAAGGACAGATTAAAGAAAAAAAAAGAAAAGAAATACCACTCAGCTTCGATCAGCCTCCCTTTCCTTAGTGTCAGGATCACTTTGGTCCACCGGCACACTAGGGAGATGCAGAGATGTGGCATTGGTCACTTTCAAACACAGTATCTGCCCCTTCCCCTCATCCCCCCAGTATTTTAGGGTGCTGAGGGAGCTGTGGGAGGGAGCACCATGCCTGCCTGGGTACCTGGCATGGAGGGGGTTTCCTCGCTGCATTTGTGGGCTGATGCTTTCCCCTGGGACCGCCCCCGCTGCTCCCCGCTTTGCTGGCCGTGCTCAGCGAGCAGTTTCCCAGGGGTGTAAGGTGAGGGGACAGCCCAAAACCACTGGAGGGGCTGTGGTGAGCAGGCAGCAGCTCTTCTGGCAGAAAGGACTGGCCTAGGGAGAGCCCCACATTCTCCCCATCACCATGGAGTAAA